GATCGCGGCAAACATCTGGGTGGAGTTCGAATCACGGAGAAAATAGTCTGGGAAATCAAACCATGTCGTAGTTGAACAGTGATAGACTGCCACTATACTGTACATAAGTGTGCTTGATGTGTACACAATGTGGTGGTTTCCAAAAAGCTCTTAAGAGTTATATTTTTTTTACAATCCTGAACCCTTTTTCTTTTTTTAACTACACAAACGAGAATAAATTAGCGACATCGCATCGAGCGTATATGGCTTACACGTTAAATGCATGCGACGTAGTAATACATTAAACACAAATCAGCTATTTGATATAAATGTATAGGTAATATTCGTACAAACTGTTATGTAAAATATTATATCGATTTTAGTTGTAGTACCTACCTATAAATACGAATCATGACGTTTTGATACGATCGACTATGCATGTGGACATATTTTCTTTGAAAATATACGTAATAAAATATGTTTATATACTTTTTATTACATCGTTGGCCATGCACAAAAAAAGGTAATAACAATAATAATATTATTAACAAATACAAATTGTTGGGACGTTGTGTGCATTACAAATTATTGCGAAACATGATTATGAACGATTTCCATTAATAATAAAAAAAAGGGTAAAAATGGTAGTGTATATTTTGAAAAGGTAGGTAATACATATTATATACCTATGGTTGATCACCACCGTTTGTAACCGCTCATGAGTGTAGAAATATGTAACGTTTGATCATTTAGTTCGTTCTGATGTAAAAATGTATTATTATTTTTTATTAGCTACTATATAATATAATATATATGGTATTATGCAATTTATAATGCTTAAAATTCAATSGTTGTATTCAAATACGACATTGTTACATGTTACAATAATAAACAAAACTACATAGAGTAATAATATAATGTTACTTTATGAAACAGAGTGATTTACTAATAGTATGCACATTCCATTTTTTTATTTGTTCTACTCAAAGAGTGTACTGTGATGTGTTATAAACTTTTGGTTTTAAAAGAGAATTCCAATTTCTTATAAAACATTATTTAGTGGATAATTTTTTTGAAAATTTGTATGTACAAATTTTAAATTCGTATAAGTTCTTTCTCGGTTATTAAAATACTCGAACAAAAGATAATAGTCCTTAAATAAGGTTTTAGTATACAATATCAATATTATTGATATTAATCATTAACATTTTAAAATTGCCATATAAAGTATATCCCCTAAATATTATAAATCTAATATCGACCTATACTCTTTAGTGTACAAATTGAAGTAAGAAAAAAACAACTTTCACAATTTTTTATTCTGATTCATTGAATAGCATGTAGAAAAATAGTGGTGATCCCTATCTTTATGGGATACTTCTTAAATAGTAAAAAAGATATCAGGAATTTGAAGATATGAAATTCAAGTACATTATTTACAGAATTCAAAAATTAAATTTTGAATAGGTAACTACATTATTGAACAATAAAAAGGAGTGAGCGTGCTTGATGAATCACTCAGTATATAGAATATTACACGATGGTGATTGGGTCTCAAAAATATTGCTGTGTTAGAATAATTTTATTAAATACTACTAAAAATATAGCCATATATATACTATAAAATATTATATTAATCTACGTTGAGTTTAACATATATTTGAGTCATTATTATTTTGTAATGTACTAATGTGTCAATTTTATTAAAACTAATTAAACTAAATAAAATTACAAAAATGCACTACTGCAGTTTAAAGAAACAAAAATAATTTATTACGTATGATATTTATAAAAAACACGATTATAAATGATTAAAATGATATTATAATACATTAGAACTTTTAAATGCTAGACCCTCTCAGTTACTAATTTTTTTTCATCATTTGAAGCCTTGTAGGTTTTTGTTATGGGAGATTTTGATATATATTAAAATTAAAATACCTAGACTTGAATTTCAAATTTATAGTAATGTATAAAGTGTTATAAAAATTGTCGTATATTATGTTATTTGAGTCGATATTTTAATATTGGTGCAAACAAGTGCATTTTTTGACAATTTTTGTACTTTTTTCAGTTACATTTTGCTAATATCTCTTCGTGAAACGATGATAACAATATGATATTGTGTAAAATATCACTCTCAAATCTATCGTATAAAATAAATTACGTCGGTTGGTATAAGCACATAAAATATTTATAAATTATGCTCACGAAAGTTTAAGATTTATAAGTCGTAGAGCATTCGAAAATGCACAAGTGTGATGTACGGAACAATTTATGATATCCATATACAGTTCACGCAAATATTCTAAGTTCAAATGCATTATTGTAATAACAATAATTTATTTATCGATGAAACGTTAGCATAATTTATAATTTTATTATTATTATTATTATATTGAAATAGAATGGCGTTATGATATTTGGCCTATAATGTGTTATAAACGTTAAATTTTTATCAAATATTATATTCTTTTTTTTTTATGAGGACGGTATTATGTTAGTACTATTATTCTAATCACTTAAGTAGTTGGACATCAAAGGTGTAAAAAACGTTGAAATTTGAAATGGTGGCTTGAGCCCTACTATAATAATAATATTGAAGAAGCTTAGAAAAATTAATGTTTTCTATGATACTAAAAAATAATATAGCAAACTCAATATCACAGTTAAATAATGTAATAATAATTTTAATTATAATTATAATCGTCGATCGATTCAAGAAAAGTATACATACTCGTATAACGTGTCACTCTGTAATTTTTAATTTTTCGTCGATTACACTATAAAAATACAAACTTTTATCTTCATATTTTTTTATATATATGGACATTGTGAGTTTATGAAAATATAAATTGTACACATAATTTGTAGCTGTTTAAGTATTAATCGTTTGCGATATAGAATATAGTTTTTATACAGTCAAATCTATAAATACTGAACCSTGTCAGTCTTAAAAATGCCATCCACGATTTAGAGGTGCCCGTTATGATTGGTTTTAATATACAATGTGATTTTTCAAACACACTCATCTAACAATTTATAATTTATATTGAGAGATCAATAGTAATCACTAAAATTTAAAAATCCTCTAAGCTTCAAAACCCAATAAACATATCTACTTAACCCATTATCATAGACATATCATCATTTTTACTCAAAGGTTTAAGTGTAAAAATAGAATAAGCATTTCTAAAGAATCATACTGAATAATTTTAATTAATACAGTAAAAAAAAAAAAAATGATAGTATTATAATATATTAACAAATTACTCACATAAAATATACAGTACCTATAGTTAAATAAGCACAATTATAATATATACCAATCGATGCTTAATGTTGAAGACAAATTACGGTACGTAGGACCTAAACTAACCTAACCTTTCTGTTTTTAGACCATAGTACAAGACAATAATACTAATAATAATAATGAATAGGAAGTCTATGATATATTTTGTTTTATGCGCCTCGTCTTGAAACTGGTGATAGTTTTGAGTTACGATCATCGATTGAAATTCGGCAAATATATTATATTGAGTTTCTTGAGAAAAATAATGAATAAGACAAAACGTGAAGGGTGAAATTGAAAATTTGAAAAATTTACGCGTACCTAACCCTTCTCGCATGTTTGAAGCACCACCACTTGACACCCGAATGTTATTAATATAGTTCCTTCACAAGTCCCTCACATTTCACCGACAGCAGTACTATACCTATATTGTATAATATATTTTGGAGAATAAATTATTTTTTGTGACGTTATTCCAATAAACCCCTTTGAAATCAGGCAGGGTATTACTACTTCCATGCACTAAAGATTTCCATCTTATAAGCCAAATAATAATATGATTAAGTAGTTTCCTCTTTTCACCTAAAAATGATTTCATTCGTTTCGTCCACGGTTTCACATTCAACATTTTGGGAAACACTGTCTCAAAATGATTTGAGTATTATTATACGATTTTATAAAATACCAGTGTAAACATAATGTCAAATGTCAATGTGTTATCAACATAATATGATATGATATACAATAAAAAACTATAAATTATTTAATAGTTGTATTAATATAGCATGTTGTTCATATTCATGGCAAATTGTAAGTATTCGTTGATTTGTTTCAATAAACTGTGGTAATTGTATTAAATAGGATGACTAAATTTTRTGAAAATTGGAATTCTTAAAAAGTAAAACGTGATATTTATAGTAATTTTAAGTACCTAAAATTTTTAATCGACTTTTAGTTTTAATCATAAATACGACTCTGTCTTTGTTTGTTAAAGTACAGAAACGTTTGTTGAAAAATTATACATAGATAAAGATAATGGCGTTATTGGATAACATAATCAGTAATTAAAATTAATAATTTGATAAATTGAATATTAATATCCAAATAGTAAGTACAGTACGTGATCAAAAATCTTAGAAATATCTCCATACAAAGCTGAACAATTAAATATATGTATATAAAAAAAAAATAAAACTCTCTAGTTAACGCTAAATGKTTTTGTAATAATTTTGGGACAATGCTTCCATGAACGTGGAATCTAAAACCGTAGGTGGCGAGAAGATTAGTATATTATTTAAACTCTTTTATCGAATATTATGGCTTAAAATAGGACGACCTACGATGTTTTGAAATAAAATAAGGCTAACTAAAAGTCCATATATATATATATATATATATATATATTATATTATTTTACCTGATAATTACAAATAAATTCCATGCTAACTCACTAACTCGATAGTGTTCAAACTAGTTACAGAAAACAACGTATACTTTGAAATATTTAATTTTGAATGCAGGAAAATAAACTAATAAACAACTCTRTAGGTATTAAAATGTACAATGTTTAGAAATTTATTATAACTGTATGTATTTTATTACAATGTGAATAAATCAAAATTAATTTTTAGAATTTTATTTTCAATTGTTATTTATTCAATACAAAGTTATAAAGCTGAATAAAAATAAAAATACCTATGTGTTTTTATTTTTTTTAAACGTCTGTAATGAACTAACTATAAAAGATAAGGTTCTGAAATTCTTCACCGCACTCCTCCTGACCAATATGAATCTAACAAGACCTGAAAAAACAACAGAATCTGTTCTTCAGTTTCAGCTAAATGAAAATCTAGCGAAAAATTTATTTTCAACTGTGAAAAATTAAATGATTTTTTTTTTTTAATATAAAATTTCTCATTTTGTATCTATACTTGATAATCTTTTTTTAATGAACTATCAATCAAATTTCTAGCTATCATAGTTTTAGGACTAAATTTTAGGACTCTTCGCGTTGACGTTTTTGTGGACTCAAATCTTTAAACTAATAATTGGATGTGATATCGTTTATCTCTCATTAATATTTTATAAATATTTAATATTAAAGCTAGATCAATTATCCACCTACTAGTTCTACTCATTATTATTGAWATACATTTTTATTATTTTCCTATTGAATAAAAATTCTTGAAGTTTTCAAAATTCAGATTATTTTCATTTCAATGACCATACTTACTTAATAGAACATCAAGAAMGTAAAAATAAACCTAAGGGTCATTAGTTGTATAAAAGCACAATATCATAATATGACATAAATATTAATTGTATGAATTTTGAAAAAAAAAATAGAAAATATTATTCAAAATTTTCCGGCTTTTTAGTTTTTAAAACACGATGTAAGGTGTTCGACAACCAAGGGAATTGTAATTTTTGAGGTAAAGGAATAGGTTGCGTCCTCTGTAACTCGAGTTGCGACAAAAACTGAATATCACAACGACAACGCAGACATTTTCTACTGCGCTTATTATTCTCTCTGTGGAAAACAGAAAAAAAAAGGGAAAAATGATTATTATTGTCTATTAAGTCTCGTGTGCGTGGTGCATTCAAATCGATCGGCGAGAAAGCACTCCAATCATGCTTGCGAATAAGCGTTGTGGTTCGCGACCGCGATGAGCGAGTAAATATACGTATGCAGGCGGTACGCGTTTTATCTTTGTAACTGTTCGACGCGCTCCTTTCGWCGTTCCCCGTTCAATCGCGATAACCGCTTCAATGACGCAGTGGTGGTCCTTGTACGTACCAAACCGCTAGGGTAGCTAATGGAAATGCGCCTTAATGAAATCGCTAAGCAAAACTCTGTTTTAGAATTCGGTCTACGACCRCCGTAAATGAAAACCATCCCAGCTAGTTTTCCATCCCCATATGTGAACATTAATTATTATTAGGTATATTTGAACAAGATAATTTATTTCTAAATATTCAAGTCAAAATGAAATTTTATATAAAAATATGAACATAACAACTTTTCAGAATATTGGAAAAAAAAATATGTTATGTCTTATTATGCTGAACAAGTTGAGTCAATTATAATCTAGGGATGATAATATGTGACTTTGGGTGCTTACCATCCCTTATCATACTTCAATGAGGCCCTATCGGTTTACGTCGTTTCACTACGTCGTCAACCCTTTAGACCAAAATGTATACGGTTTTCGAACTTTATAATTATTATAATTGCATTATTACGAATAAAGTCGAATTAAATTTAACCCGTGGTTGAATAAAAACCATAGCAAAAACCACTCATAAGAACTGGCAATGTCACATTATTAAATTTTACCGAAATAATTACGTTAGTAAAACAGTAGTCTGACGTAGYGGTTTGGGTGAAAAAAACGTAGGTAGGTACCCAACAAATACGTTACGGTATACAAGTAATAATAATATTGTTATTGGATCGTTATACCTTTTACATAATTATTATTTATACACAGTTGTAAAGTTGTTTGTGTTAAGCTAACACGGTTTATATTGTTCATAAATGAAGCCATGTACACATATTATTTTAGTAGGTAACTAATTTTTTTTTTTTTTTACAGTGCAAATAATAATGTAATTTATTGTTATAAATAGTGATAATATAATTTTTTTTTCATACAATATTTTAGCACTGTAATAATAATAAATAATATTGAAGGATAAACGAATAGGTTAAATCAATAATAGTCATAAAAAGCTTAAAAAAAAAAAAAAAAATGGAACCTAGTGTGGCAATAATTTATAACATACATTTTTGTACTTAACTACCTATACTTTATTATTTCACATTTTTTTTTTATATACAACTTTATATTTTGGTAAATTTATTGACAAGTTAAATTATTTTTTTCTGTTAATTAGAATATATTATTTTTTTATATAATTAAACGTGTTCAACTGACTGGCCGACTAACGTGGAGCATAAACTACGATAACAAGAGAATGTCTATTGATTCTTAGTACACCAAGCGGGGGTAAGCTAAGCTAAGACAGAATTTTCTAAAATTCGCATTTTAAAGAGATAATCATACAAAAATATTGAGATTCACAATCGAAATTTAAAATTAGTTTTGTTTCTAAATAATTACGGATTGTGATGTTAAGAGTTGGAAATCAGTATTTTATTTTGTATACAGATGTTTGTAGTTGACGCTAGTACTCTGGTAGATAAGGTAAATACATCCATCAATTGATCATCGTCACATTTACATAACCTCGATGTAAAAAAACGAAAAGTAAAACTATAATATCTTATAGTTTATATGTATGTTGTATGTGTATGAGTTACCTATATGCTCAAAAACTACTTGATTGATTTTGACGGTAATCTCGAATATTATTTTAGGAGATATCAGAAAACATTTATGAACTCATTAGACGACGTTAAGAAATAAACGTATTCTTAATAGTGCTAAATCAAATTCACAAATTGTCTATATATAGTTCGAATTATTTCATGAACTAAGGTACCTACGCTTATATTTAGAACTGTATTTTGAATTTATTATTTTTTTTTTCACATGGGAAGTCGGGTTATACAGGTAGTAATACATAAAATATATGAATTGTAGGTACAATCCTACACATGCACTTCATGATTATAGTGGTTTAATCTGATTGAAAATAATTTGGAATATCATATACGTCGTATCATGTATAGGCAACCGTTCAAAGTTTAACGTAGGTATTTCATTATTCATATAATGACGCATTTTCGGTAAAGTATTTTGGTATAGATATGTATGTCTTTGTAATTTGTTGTAACTGAAAGTTATATTAATGAGATTAAATCTACGTTGTTTTCTATTGTTTAGTCTTGAAGATCAAAAACTTGGTCGTTGTTATTACTGAATAATGCTTAACGTAAAAATGTAATTAGCTTTTTATTTAACTATATTAAACGAAGGAGCGAGCACACTAGTATTAAACATACTTAAGTATTTGCATATTATTCTATATGGAAATGATGAAACGCTTATATCATTTGAAAATTATGCACGAACTTAATGAATTAAATGTATTCTATTTATAGTTTTTATGAGCTATAATACCAATAAAATAATAATAATTGAGACTCATCTAACCGTCTCTCTAACCGTCGACACACATCATGTTTGCAATAACACTAAGAGGTTTGATTTACTGATCGGAAAATGATGGTAGAAGAGAATATTGATAGGTTGGTGGTATTAGAGGCTGAGAATACAACACGCGTAGTTAGTTAAAAGTTTATAGGATTATAATATTATTAGTATTAGTACGAGCGAAATGAATCTGGATGGACACAACAACGACACCATCGCCCAATACCACACAGAGCTGATCTATAAATTCTCGTTTCCATCTTCTCTCTCTCTCTTTCACTCCCCTATCCCTATTTTCCCTCTTTCGACAACTTCCTCTCTCTCATTCACCCCCTCCCACTTTTCCATGGCCTTACCAGGACCGTGAGATAGATGTTTTCAGGTCAAGCAACAAGTGACCGTTGGTAGGCTTACGGGGAATTTGTACCATCTAAGTGCCTCTGTAGCGTTAGAAAACTGATCGGACGTCCAGAGCTTTGATGGAAGAAAAACACAATAGTGAAGTATAATGAAAATGTGTATTATACTTTGGTAGTACCCAATGCGTATACTGGTTCAGTATTAATATATAGAAATTTCATAGTATCTACTAGTTGTGTGCACCGAGTGATTTTGAATGTCATTGTTTCCGACTAACTTCGTTCTTATGAATTTTTATTTTACCTTAATTATTCAAAACATAAATATTATCGCATAAATCGCAGATAAGAATATCATTTGAATGACTGTAAAAAGTGTACGCACAAAAACCATTATACATACACGATACACGACCTATGAGTATAATAAATAAAATTAGTAGACCGTACAATATGTGTAGCCATGTTTTTGCTCCCCTGCCATAAAGTTAAATTAAAAATGTGTTATAGTTACATTATAAAATTTTTTTTTGCATAATGGCTAACTGTGTGGTGTAATCTAAGACGTATATTGATATTTTCAAGCTTGGTAAACTTTACTTTGTTGTAAATTCAGATATTGCATGATTAAAAAAAAAAAACAACGATTGTACTTAAATTTACATTACTGAAATGAATTAATGCAGAAATTTGATTAAGAGTTGATTTATTAAATCACAAATTAAGTTAGTTTTAAATAAGGCCTTAGAATTTTTTTTTCAGAAATAAATAATAACTAGATTATTTCATAATTTTATAATTTACCATTTTATAATAGATTATAAAAATATGTAAAAAAAATCATAATGTCTATAAAAAACAAATTTATAAATAGATGAATGCAATTAAAATTTTCTTAAATAAATATAAATTCTCGTAAGTTTTATTCAATTATGCACATTTTAACGTAAAATTTTGTTCGAAATAATAATAATCATACTTATTTTCGATACGGAAATACGATTTACTGTATTTTAAAATACGTACACCAATTCTTAAACTGCTTATTTTGTAAACTCAAAGCTATTTAAGTTGTATCTGTGCATTTATATATATATAAATGCATATGTTCCTCTCATACTTATTGGCAACAAGATTTTATAGAAAATTCATACAGTCTCATAGATATTTTTTCTGATTATAATTAATTAACACCCAACGAGTGGATTTACATTTAACGAGCCATATACTTATTCTTACCATAAATCAGCCTGGGGATTGCCTAACTACCAGACACACAAACATTAATATCAATTAGGTTGGTCGTCAACAATGAAATCGAAA